TCCCTAAATGTTTTCCCTTTCTGTTCTGAAGTAGAATTTGTTTTAAGAGAAAGCACAACATTTCTCTCCATTTATCGAGAGGGGTGGGGTTGGGGTGCACAGATCTCTCTCTCTTATGTTAACACCCAGATTCAGATTTTGTTGACTCCTGGACTATCTTACAAACTCCGGTGTCTATAAGGTGACATCTTGTCTGGCTCTCATATTCACCCCTGAAGGTGAATACTAAACATGAGGAATCAGCATGATTTTCTGCTAAAAGTGAAAAATTATCTGTTGCATTCCAAATACAAAATGTTTGCTTTCAAATTAATGCAAATAAACATAGATATTAAATATATATATTATAAATATATATATTAAATATAGACAGTAAATTTATGTGAAATTAATATGTAATATGTTATACAATAAAAATTCAGATAAGTAATATAACATATTATAACATATGCATATACTTATATTAATAGAATTACTATATTATTATATATTGTGGCATATATACAATATATTGCAATAAAACATATAAATAACAGGTAAGTTATAAACAAATGAACCAAATATGAAAAACAAATACAGCATTACTAAATAAATATATAAGATAAAATACAGCTTAAACATAAGAACAAAGATATTAAATATAACATCTATATGTATATAAAATAAATATAAATATTAAAATACTTAACATTTAATGTCAATAAACATAGATATTAAAATCAACTCTTGGATTTCTTTTTACATATTTTAATTTTTTGTTGTATAACTTAAATGTTTGGTTATTATATAATTTGAATGTTTTGATTGTTGTCTTGCCATTTCTGAAAATGTTTCCAATGTTAATTTGACAATTAGGACTGTGTCCATTTATTATATTCTTTCTTTTGAGAGCTCCAGTTAGGTTTATATTACATACATTATGCATTATCCCTCCATATCTTTAGCTTCTGCTTCATATTTTCCATTTCTTTGATATCAGTGTTTCATTTGTAAACATTTCTTCAAATGTATCTCCCTGTTTATTAATTCTCTCATCAGCTATAGTTAAACTGCCATGAAGCCTATGTATTGATTTCCTATTTCAATTATTTAATATTTTATTTCTGATAGTTCTAATAGTTCATTTCTCAAGTCTGACTAGTCAATATATTTTCTCTTTATTCTGTGTTTAAAAACATGTTATTTTTTATTTTTGAAAATAGTAATTACACTTATTTTTCATTTTATATTTTCAAAGACCAATAACCAAGGTAAATAATTTGTCTTTGAGAATATAAAATGAAACCCAGCAGCACTCATTCTGCTGATTTTTCACTCATAATGGCTTATTTTCTTGTGTGTGCTTAATAAATTTTTATCCTGAGTTGTTAAATTTAATTGGAAACTTATTTGTGATATTAATTTGAGTTTGACATGATGCAACGGCCTCCATAAAAACTCATCATTACATATAACGATTAACTAATGCCTTTCCCAAGAATCAATTTCTCCTTATTTTTTGCTTAATAATTTTGGACCACCATAAATCTATGTAAAGAGTGGTCTATGATTAAATTTTTTCAAAAATGAGTTTTTGCTTTTTTCCCTTCTAACTTCTGATCAAGGCTAAGGTGAGTGATTTCCCTTAAATTTCCAAGAATATGGATGAGGTTACTTTACATCATATTATTTTATGTTCACCCTTAATGTATCAATGGTTTAATGGAGGTAAATTCTCTTATTCAACTCATACAAGATTGAAACTGGAGTTCTATTTTTGAATCCTAAATTCCGTACACTGATTAAAATACAAATCCCTTTTTTTTAATTCTGCAATTATCTTAGGGCCAAAGTCCTCTGCAATGTCCTGTTTATTTCTCTCAGTTACCAATTTTTGTTAGATTCAGCCTGATGATACATAAAATTTTAGTAAGCCTATTGAATTGACCATATTTTAAAATATTTTAAGCATTGTTTTCTCTCAAAGGATTCATCCAAGTGTACTTGTTTAAGTGTACTTAGTCAATAGTCTTCTAATCAATCAATACCTTAATTAACCCAGAGGTTTTGCTTTGGTACCAAAGATGGACTTGAATATATTCTCAATCAACTGCTTAGCTCAACTGCTCCTTCTATTTGTGAACTTTCAATTTTAAAACACTAAGCTTAAAACTAAATTGTTTACTATCCACTTTGAAAACAATCGTTTATCATTTATGTGAAATAAGAAAATAAAACCCTCTATATTGCACCAACCACCTTTGGCTCTCCCTTTTTATCTGTCAACTTATATAACTCTATGGCTACTTTGACATTGCCAAGGTTTGTAATTTTTAGAATCTGTTCATTAAGTACATTTATCTTCAATTTCTTTTTTCTGTAGGTTGAGAAGGTAAATAGTCTTAATAATAATAGTGATATGAATTTTATGTCACTATTTTTGTCTGTAGTATCATTTAATCAAAAAGTAGGAACTTGCAGATTTAGGTTGCTTAGCCTATAAAGTATAAATTTAAATTTCAAGCCTTCAAGCTCTTGAGTACAGAGCATATGCTTTTATCTTATAGCTTGATTAATTCACATACTATATGTGTGTGAGTGCATGTTTTCTTTATCTGATAGTTCCATTCCAATTCACTAAATAAGCTGTATTAATCACTTATATGTTAGACCCACAGAAAATCAATCATGTGCATACTATTAGATCTCTGTTCCTCTATGGAAATTGTTCTAGAAAACAGTATCAGCTCAATTTTCTTTTTGTAAATCATAACAGTTATTTAAGTATTTTGTATTAATCTACTTTAAAAAATATTTGTTTATTTTACTTTAAGTTCTGGGATACAAGTGCAGAACATGTAGGTTTGTTACACAGGTATACAAGGTATACATGTGGCATAGTGGTTTGCTGTACTATCAACCCACCATCTAAGTTTTAAGCTCTGCATTCGTTAACTATTTGTCCCAGTGCTCTCTCCCCGCTCAGCCCTTATCCCCTGACTGGCCCTGGTGAGAGTTGTTCCCCTCCATGTCCATGTTTTCTCATTGTTCAACTTCCAATTATGAGTGAGAACATGCGGTGTTTGGTCTTCTATTTCTATGTTAGTTTGCTGAGGATGATGGCTTTCAGCTTCATCCATGACCCTGCAAAGGACATAATCTCATTTCTTTTTATGGTTGCATAGTATTCCATGGTGTACAGGTCCACATTTTCTTTATCCAGTCCACTGTTGATGAGCATTTGGGTTGGTTCCATGTCTTTGCTATTGTAAATAGTGCTGCAATAAACATATATGTCCATGTATCTTTGTAGTAGAATGATTTATATTCCTTTGGGTATATACCCAGTAATGAGAGTGCTGGGTCAAATGGTATTTCTGGTTCTAGATCCTTGAGGAATCACCACATTGTCTTCCAATTTACATTACCACCAACAGTGTAAAAGCGTTTCTATTTCCCCACAGACTCATCAGCATCTATTGTTTCTTGACTTTTTAATAATCACCATTCTGACTTGTGTGAGACAGTATCTCATTGTGGTTTTGATTTGCATTTTATTTGCTTTTGTGTTTGAAATGAGTTTTATAGGACGAATTTTGTTTAGCATGTTTATATTGGCAACATTTTCAACACCTATGTTTTTCTCTAATAGAGAAAATATATGCCTACTTTTCCAAAACAATATAATTTTTGTCCTCGTAATCATGCATTTTCAAAAAACTATTTTTTTTGTGAGAAAATGTATTGCTATCCCTTTGGATTCCTCTTGTAATACAAATCAGTTGTTGCATAGATATTTACTGTATATTCCAGCTAAGCAATCTATATTCTTTCTCTATGTTTCTTTTAAACAATCTTTATAAAGTTGTACATATTTTTTACACAAGTGATGAATGACAGGGAAACTCTCTGAGTCCTTGATTATCTCAATGACATTTTTATGTTGTCCATTAATTTAAAATTTTTTTGGTATTTCAATAAGAAACCTGAGCACAAACAACCTGCCTTCAAAAAAACTCTGCTACATTTTATTTTAGTATTCAGTATTGCTCATAAGGCTGATCTCATTAAGATCATTTGTTTTTTGTTTGTTTGTTGTTTTTGTTTTTTGTTTTTTGAGATGGAGTCTCGCTCTGTAGCACAGGCTGGAGTGCAGTGGCATGATCTCAGCTCACTGCAACCTCTACCTCCTGAGTTTAAGCAATTCTCCTGTGTCGGCCTCCTGAGGAGCTGGAATTACAGGCATGTGCCACCACAACTAGCTAATTTTTTGGTATCTTTAGTAGAGACAGTGTTTCACTACGTTGAGCAGGCCGGTCTCAAACTCCTGACCCTGTGATACGGCTGCCTCAGCCTCCCAAAGTACTGGGATTACAGTCGTGAGCCACCACACAGCCAAGATAAAAAATTTTAAGCTGTTGTACATATCACGAAGACTTTTAGAATTATTTATTAGTGAAGTTATGCAATTTATTTTGGATATGTTTTCCTGTGCACTTTTCCATATTACATTTACCTAGCTGAAGACTAAATGAGTGACTTTAGTATAATGTTTTATTTTTATTCAGTTGTGTGATATTTACAAACCTAGATGTTATAACCTACTACACACCCAGGCTATATGGGACAACCTATTGCTCCTAAGCTACAAACCTTTAGAGCATGTTACTATAGTCAATAATGTAGACAAATATAATAGTAAATACTTGTGTATCTAATCATAAAAAAATTACAGGAAACATACAGTATTATATTCTTCCATCATTATCCAAAACGTCATTATGTAGCACATGACTATATATACTTGAACAAAATGGGTTCAAATGGGGTGGGTCCACTTATATGTAATTTTAAAATATATATGTATTTTTTTAGTAATTTGCAATACTTTGAGAAAACTCACAGACAGATTGCATACCCTAGGAATATAAAAAATATTAGAAAAAGTTAGATGTGTCATTAATACATATAATATAGGTATAATCTATTTTATTAGGTACTACTATAAAAATAATTAAATCTGTAATAAAAAGTTAATATTTATCAAAACACAAACACATACTGTATGTAGGCTGCTCATAATAGAAACGTAAACAAACACAAGTAGTTAGTCACTACTACTTAAAATTCACTGTAGTACAGACTGTAATACTATAATAATTATGTAGACACCTCCTGTTGCTATTGCAATAAGCTCAAAAGTTGCAAATAGACACTTAAAGTGCTGTGTGATGCTCTCTCTTGTTTCTCCAGTGAATTTGTGTATCATGGTAAAAAGTGATCTCACAGAGTTCTCACCATATAAATCACATTTAGTGAAATACCTTAAATCTTAAATAACATCATGGGACCCACATAAAATGTCACTAGTGATGCTGGAGGTTTTCCCAATAAGCTGAGAAAAGTCATTGCATTGCAAGAAAAAGTTAAATTACTTGATACATACCATAGGTTGAGGTCTGCAGCTGCAGTAGACAGCCATCTCAAGAAACAAACCCAGTGTAAGGACTATAGAAAGAAAAAAAAATGTGAAGCCATCACTGTAGCTGTGCCAACCAGCACAAAAACCCTGCACATTTTTCAAAATACCTTTTTATCTCATATTAAAATTGCAGTTTTTATGTGAGTACAGGATTGCTATAAGAAAGGCATACTTACAGAATCTAAAATGATTTTTTAAAAAAGCAACATCATTACATGACATCTTAAAGCAAAAGGAAGGTAAAGGATATTAAGCTGGATAATTGAACGCCAGTAAAGGATGGTTTGACAAGTTTTAAAGAGGTTTGGCTTTAAAAATATCAAGATTAGCAGGAAAAGCAGCTTTTACTGATGAAGAGGCAGCAGAATTCCCAGAAGCCCAAGATAATCAAGGAGAAAAAATATCTGCTGAATGGGTTTTTAATTTAGACAAAAGTGCCATATTCTGGAAGAAAAAAATTGCCACAAAGGACATTTATTAATAAGGAAGAGCAGTGAGCACAAGAATTTAAGACATTTAGTAGATGAACTCTACTGTTTTGTGCAAATGCACTTGGGCTTATAATCAGGACTGCCCTTATCTACAAAGCTGCTAACTCTAGAGCCGTGAGGGAAAAAGATAAACGTCAGCTGCCAGCCTTTCTATTGTACAATATGAAGACCTGGGCAATAAGAAACTTTTTCTGAATTGCTTTCAGTGATGCTTTGTTCCTGAAGTGAGGAATTACTTTTTCAGTAAGGGACTGACTACTTTTAAAATTCTTTTGAGATTGGACAAAGGCTTGGCCATCCAGAACCCCAGGAGTTCAACACAGAAGGCTTCAAAATAGTCTACTTGCCCTTAAACACACATCCTTAATTCATCCTCTAAATCAGGGAATCTTAAAAAACCTGTAAGACTCATTACACTTAATTCTCTGTAGCGATGACTGTCAAAACTGTAGAAGGGAACCCTGATACAGAGAACATCATGCAAGTCTAGAAGGATTACAACATATAGGGTGCCAACATTGTTCCAGAAAAAACGGTGAAAGCCATGAAGCATGAGACAACAAATCCCTGAAGAAGAAAACCATGTCCAGATGTTGTGCACCCCTTCCCAGGATTCCAACAGAACCAATCAAGGAAATCATAAAAGAGATTATGGATATAGTGAAAAAGAAGTAGATGATCAAGGCTTTCAAGATAAGGATTTTGGAGAAAATCAAAAGTTAATGGAAACAAAAACAGAAGATTTAACAGACGATGACTTGATGCAGATGAGCGCTTCCAAATCAGGGTCAGACAATGAGGAAGAAGAGAATACGAGGTAGAAGCATTGCCAGAAAACAAATTGATATTAGATAGTCTGTCAAAAGGGTTCCAACTATTCAGAACTGCTTTTTTTTTTTTTTTTTTTTTTTTTTTTTTTTTTTTTTTTTTTTTTACTACATGGACCCTTCTATGATAAAAGCATGGAAACTAAAGCAAACAGTGGAAGAAAGATTGCTACTATAATATACGCAAGCGTTTTTAGAGAAATAAGCAAAAATTCAGGCAGATATTACCATGTATTTCTGTAAAGTTACACTGAGTGTGTCCGCCTCTTCCGCCTCCCCTTCCACCTCCTCCACTTCTTCTGTCTCTGCCACCCCAAGACAAAAGCAACTCCCCCTTTTCCTCTTCCTCCTCAGTCTACTCAGTGTGAAGATAACAAGGATGAAGATCTTTATTAAAATGATACATTTCCACTTGACCAATAGTAAGTGTATTTTCTCTTATGATTTTCTTAATAACATTTTTTCTCTAGCTGACTTTACTACAAAATACAGCATATAATATATACAACACACAAAATACTTGTTATTCAACTCTTTATGTTGTAGGTAATATTTCTGGTCAACAGTAGGCTATTGGTAGTTGTTTTGGAGGAGTCAGAAATTATACACCGATTTTCGGCTGGGCAGAGAGTCAGTGACCCTAATCCCCATGTTCAAGGCTCAATTGTGTATGTATATACACATAGCATAGTCCTCACCTAATGCCATGGATAGATTCTCGGAAACTGTGACTTTAAGCAAAATGATGTATAACGAAACCAATTTTACTATAGGCGAATTGATAATAGCAAGAGTCAAGTTCCTATCATATATATCTGTCAGAAAAAGACAACCAACTTTTTATAAAGACCTAAAGCACTTCTGATATAAAACATTAAAACCAATTAGAGCTATACGTACATTTAAGGAAAATTAATAAAAAGCAGGATAATGATATACCCAATTATCACACTTCAGGTTCGTGGGTGACTAGAGTCGATCCCAGCAACTAGGGATGCAAGGCAGGAATTTAACCCCTGGCAGAATGCCATCCCATGGCAGGGTGCACTCGCAGACTCCCACATTCACTCACACTGGGCAATTTGCACATGCCAATTAACTGAATATGCACCGCTTCGTGATGTGGGAGGAAACTGGAGTACTTGGAGAAGACCCACACAGACATGGGGAGAACATGAGAACTTCACATAGACGGGGGACCCTATCAGGAATCATTTATTTTTCTCATCAATGTTATAAAGAAATGTTGCTAGTCAAAGACCTGACATATACATAAGTGGTTTATATACATACATATAACTTTATCCATATATAAATATATGGAAAACATATACATGGAAATATATGTGCATATATGTGGAATGTATATACATACATTTATGCAAGACATATATATGTACATATATGGAGAACATACATATATAATGAAAAAATATATATCTTTTGTATATAAAATATAAGATAAAATACATAAAATAAATACATATAAAAATAAAAGATATATATGGAAAAAGAGTTCTGCTTTTTCTTTTCATCTCAATCTGCTTTTTACTTTTAAAAAGCAGCATTTCAGTCTGCTTTTAATTTTAATCTCAGTCATCTCAAACTCCTGTTCTCAGCACAGATAATTTTTGTATTTGGAACAAAAACAAAGCAGCTATCTGAAAAATTACAAAAGCTACTTTAAGGAACATGGAGTTCTTTATCTAATAATAGGTGATTATGATTGGAAAGATCTCTTTAAGTTTTCTCAGACATGGAATAAAATAAGTCTACCGTGGGCTCCATGCACATTAAAGTAAATTCAAATACTTGCTTCTCCTACCTGCACAATACCCTTGGTTAGATATGTCATCTGACATGCTTAAGACATGTACAGTATTGATCGTTTCATATATTTTAAATAATAAACATAGTATTTTGTTCCAAGAACAGCGACTGAAAATACAGGAAAGAGCAGTGCAAGCCATGAAGCAAGAAACAATAAGTTCCTGAAGAAGAAAACTGTGTGTAAAATAAGAACTGTCTACAAAAACACAGTGGCTACTGTCTATTGAGCTCTTATTTCTTCCCATATATGTGTGAGTCTTTCCCAGGTACTCCAGTTTCCTTCCACATCACAAAACTGTGCATATTCGGTTAATTGGCATGTGTAAATTGTCCCAATATGAGTGAAAGTAGGTGTCTGTGAGTGCACCCTGCCATGAGATGGCGTTCCCAGGGTGAGATTCCTGCCTTACAGCCTGAACTGCTGGGATAGGCCCCAGCTATTATAGATAGATATAGATAGATAGATCAAATGAATAAATAGATAGATAGATAGATAGACAGATAGATATTCAGTATAGTTATAGATCTGTCAGTCTGTATCTACATTCATATCGATATCATTTCTGTTTACAAATTACACTCCCTCTACCTCAACTACTCACCTCTCATCTCTGCCACTGCAACATGACATTAACCACAGATGTAAACAAGGGAATATCTCCATGCTCCTAAAACAAAAATTAAAAACTCTGTTTATGAACATTGAACTTTGAATTTCATACACTTTTATGTTGTGAAATCATATTTAAATTTTTTTACAACTATTTTAAAACTGCAAATGTAATCTTACCTCACCAGCTACACAAAAACTGGTGTTGGCTGGATTTGTCTCGTGGGACCCAACTTGTCAACCTCTGCCATATATGAAGAAAAGAGAAGGCTCATTGATGTAGAGGGCTGCTCGGGGTTTTTATTTTATTCTCTATGTCTAAACACACATGTCTCTGAACAAATCTGTCTTCTGATGGCATTTCTTACCAAGAATTTTGTGCACGTAGGGGAAGAAAGTATTTGGATTTACTTTAATGTGCATGGTGCCCACAGCAGACTTTTTTTTTCCTCTCACTTCTGAGCCAGATTGAAGAGATGTTTCCAATAAAAAATAATTGCCTACATAAGGATTCCATATTTCCTAAGGTAACTTTTTAAATTTTTCAGATAATTCCTTTGTGCTTTATTCTGAATACAAAATTTATCTGTGATGATAATAGGAGATTCAAACGAAAATAAAAAGCAGAACTGTTTTTCTTCATTAGACAGCCTGTGAATTACCTACCATGATTTTTTTTTCCTTGCACAAGCAACTCTCTGTCTTTACCTCTTCTGAGCATAGGGACAATCATCTTGGTTTCTGTCTCCCCTGTAATGTGTTTCAGGCTGTGGCTTCCAATGTGTGAACCAGTATGTTTTGTTCTTCGAGAAATTCACCAAAATATATAAATATTTATACTTCCTTTACCATTACCCTCACAAAACTCAAACATGCACTCCATCTCCATACTATTATAGATTTTTCAGAGTTCTATTCACAAAGATTTGGGAGAGGTAAACATGTATTTTCACTTAACGTTCTCAAAATGATATACCATGCTTATTATTTAAAATATACTTTATTAAATAATCAATGTTGAACTTGTCTTAATCATTTCTGAAGCAAGTTTCTATATTGTATTCCTTAGTAATTTTTATTAGACAGTTGTAGCAAATTTAAATAATAATACCGATGATCTGAGAGCATATTAAATGCAAGACTAAGGCAAATCTGTTAGGAATTAGTGAAAAGATCGGTAGTATAAATGTGTAGCGTTATTTTACTACCATTTTCAGAAGATAAAACAATATATACATAATTATTTGCCTAGATAATTTATTGATCTTTCCTGATAACTCTGAAATATATTGTATCTGTTTGGATATTCGTCTATCAATCTGAAGTTATAATTACAGAAAACTTACATTTTTACATTTCCAATAGTCTTGAGATTGACTTTAGAGCTAATACTTTCAAAGAAAAGTATAAAATAAGAATTCTATGCACAAATATAGTTGCCTTGTTTTTATTTTCTTGTATTCTATTCTTTTATGCATAATTGACAAGATTTATATAGTATCAAACTAAATATATAGTTTTAGGCAAAAAAAGGTTATCAATATTATAATTTTATATGTAAAATTATATATCATAATGACTTAAACTTCTTTCACATAATAATACCTATAGAGAAGAGTAGGCACTTCATCCATATAATATTTGTGAAACTTTCCAGGAAAAATACATATATATACACATATGTCTACATATACATAAATACATACTTGTATATATATTTTTTCCTTATATATGTGCATATATATGTATAAATATGTATATATGTGCATATATGTATAAATATGTATATATGTATATACATATATACATATGTTGAGAAGATGTGTTTATATATGTGTAAATATATGTATTTTACTATATATTTCTATTTACTAATTATATATTATACTATTTATTTCTATTATAATAATATACTATTTATTTCTATATATATACAGAAATAAAAATTTGTTATGCTATACTGATGAAGTTTTATGCAGTCATTATGAATCACTGCAATTACACTAAAGGCGTTGGTGTCAATTGTGGGTTTTCTAATGCACAGGATTTCTTAGGACACAAAATCATTTTGCCAATGGTGTAAATACTGAAATGTTTTTTAAGTTGCAGTAATTTTTTCGTGTCATAATGTTTGATATATTATTGTCATCATTTGAACAGTTATTATGTAACTTTTTTCTTCTACATTCTTCAATTTCAAAACTATGATGCAAATAATTCAGAAAAGGGATAATTAGAGCGATATTGCATTATGCTGTACTATTCTTGACAACAGACCAATCTATAGGGTTCTGACTAGAAAGCCATTATATTAAAAATATAACTCCAGATCAGACTGCCAGTGTCACTGTCTATGAGTGTTCACTTAATTTCTGAGTGTTCATCTTCCACTATTTCGATCTCAAGCATCTGTACAATCAGAAAACTTATCCTTGTATCTCTCAGCTCCAGATAGAAATTCCAATTTTTTTGTTGTTGTTGTTTGTTTTTTGTTTTGTTTTTGTTTTATTTTATTTTATTTTATTTTATTTTTATTATACTTTAAGTTTTAGGGTACATGTGCATAACGTGCAGGTTTGTTACATATGTATACTTGTGCCATGTTGCTGTGCTGCACCCATCAACTCGTCAACTCGTCATTTACATCAGGTATAACTCCCAATGCAATCCCCCCTCCCCCTCCCCCTCCCATGATAGGCCCTGGTGGTGTGATGTTCCCCTTCCCGAGTCCAAGTGATCTCATTGTTCAGTTCCCACCCTATGAGTGAGAACATGCGGTGTTTGGTTTTCTCTTCTTGTGATAGTTTGCTAAGAATGATGGTTTCCAGCTGCATCCATGTCCCTACAAAAGGACACAAACTCATCCTTTTTTATGGCTGCATAGTATTCCATGGTGTATATGTGCCACATTTTCTTAATCCAATCTGTCACTGATGGACATTTGGGTTGATTCCAAGTCTTTGCACTTGTGAATAGTGCTGCAATAAACATACGTGTGCATGTGTCTTTATAGCAGCGTAATTTATAATCCTTGGGTATACCCAGTAATGGGATGGCTGGGTCATAATGGTACATACTACTTCTAGATCCTTGAGGAATCGCCATACTGTTTTCCATAATGGTTGAATTTGCTCTGATTCCTTCTTAGTTTTCTGCATACTTTTTTTCTTATATATCACTAGTCATTTTCAAACTTTTTGGAGGCTAAAAGCACCTTTGAAATTTAAGAAAAAATATTCCCTTCCTGTCTTCTCATCAAAGTATCATTTAGAAATGACATAGCACAATATTTTAACAAGTCATAATTAGTAGGTATATTAGTAAGGGTACATTAAAGGAACCAAAATCACAGTGTTACTCTGAATAGGAAAATTTTAGTATAAAATAATTAGTAATCAGAGATTCACTAATCATTTGAGTAAAGAGAACATTAAAGAACACAAGAAGAGCACATGTAGGAAGCAGCCCAATAGAGGACAGTTCTCCACTTCCCAACCCCTGAGACCAAGAGCTCATGCAAGAGAGTGAGGCTGCTATTTACTGAATGGCAGAGCGATATGCTAAGGTGCTGTAGGTTAAGGCTGTCAGGAAGGAAATCTGTCACTGAGCTATTGCTTAAACTCAGTCAGAAGCTGTCCACTGCGGTGCTAGAAACTTGGTAAGAATTACCCGTGGCAGTAAAGTAAAATTCACTAAGAAGCTCTCTAACTAGGTGCTGGAGAAACTTACCAAAGGGCATTCATTACTGGGTCTCTTTCAGACAACTGACAAGGAATCTTCCCACCAACAAGCGAACTTTCTCCTAGTAGCCATATCCTATGAGCAAGAGTGTATATATGTAAGTGCTTCACATAGAAGAGAGAGGCTCCTTCCTTCTTCAGTGATCCTTTGAACACTCTGTCTGGACAAAGTCTGACACTTTTCCAGCTGTCAAAAAGATGTTTATCAGATAGAGCTGCAATGTTACAAAGAAGGGCATGTAAGTGTACATTTGGAACAGGTAAGCAATCAATTTATAATTGGGACAGCCTATGCATTAGGCTATCCAGCTTCCACATAAACACTTGGGTACCCTTATATACTATTTAGATATTTACAGCAGGAGCATTTGTTTTCTATTTGAATGAAAGAGAGAGAGAGAGAGAGAGAGAGAGAGAGAATCTGTCTTCATAGGGGGTTTCCAGAAGCCAACTCAAGAAAATGACTTAAATGAATATAACTTATTTGGGGGGTGATCCCAAAATTCACAATTTTGGGTATTTATGGATATAGGGAAGTAGGAAAGAAAAGGGTGCAATAAAAGTAAATGATACAATACAAGATGCATTATTAAGCAAGTGACCATTGTGGGTAACTAAGCTTAATACTAATGGAAGGCTCTGGGAGCAAATGAAAACAACATACTAGAGAATTGTTTCATATAAGTTTTGTGTGATTCAGATATGTACACAGTAACTCCTGTAAGTCATTGTTTGAGGAATTCTGCTGACGGTTTCAATAATTTGGCAAATCTAACCTGATTTAGAAATGGGGAAGAGGTCTCTGGAAATCAAAGAATGTCCTTATGCAAGTAGACGCAGTTTCTGTGGGTTGAACATCAGGCCTTTATGTACTAGAATAGAAAGACATCATTGAGATTAATTTGTAACTGATATATGTATCCATATTAACTCCAATCTCCACCAAATGTATAACCTATGCACGCTTCAAGTTTTGTGTGGTTTGAGGTCCAGTTTATTAATTCCTTTTACTATTAAGCAAGAATGAGTTGAGTTTCCACTAAGGGTGTGACACTATATGAATTTTTGGGCACATAGCAATAAACAGTATAGATACAAACATTTTCCTCAAGGAATTCGTATATTTAAAATACTTGCTTCAGTTGGCATAATATCAGAAGTTATGTGGGGATATAGTTTTTTCTCAAATAAAATAATATATAAGAAATATTTATATGATTTTAAACATGAAAACATTTGAATTATATTCAAAAATATTTCCTGTTATTTACAGATGTGTTTTAATTAAAATACAGTATATAAAGTTTAATATTATAATTTACTTTCTATATTATATGTAACATAATTTAAATTAAAAATCAACTTTTTACATCATGTCATCATGCCATTCACATATATGTGGGTATGTACATATATATATGGGTGTGTGTGTATGAGTGTGTGTGTGTGTATATATATATACACAAAACTTCTTCTATCTGGAGCATCAAGCTCTAGACACTTTTAAGCTCAAATGTAATGCTTAAGCAGACAGTCCCACTTTGGGTTAACTTGAAGTCTGTGAAGACAAATGAGTCCTAAATCACAAAATAATCATTGGTCACAAGAGCTTAGATAGAAGCCAGTTTTTAGAAAACTGTACCAGTAAATTTAAGCTATAAAAGAAAATGGGCAAAGAACAGAATGTAAACTAAAGGCATGTGTGTAATGCCGCTTACAAGATAACTCATAAGAAGCAATAATGATGGAGCATGTTATTATTGGGAGATAAAGTACATAGGAATTTTCAAGACTATTTAACTTAATAAATCAAACAGGAAGTAAAACATTAAACATAAAATTAAAAGTGAGACTATCAGAAAGATGAACATTAGAATAGTGATTATATGAGCACAATCACTTTAGCTAATATTCACCTGAATCTCAGTCAATGACGCTGCTATAGTTGATGCAAATTAGACATAATTTTATAATTATAATTATATATGGTTGATTAATTATGCACCACTAGACAATATTTAGTGAGCACCTACTCTATAACAGTTATATTTCCAGTTGCTTATAAACAAACAATGACTAAAACAAAAAGGTTAGTGGCTTTTTCCCTCTAATGGGGTGGAAGAAAAAATTAAGGAAATGATGGCTAATAAATAATTAATTAGTGTAGATGCCACTAAGAAAATGGGTAGTTATGGATACTATAAGGCTGTTTTAGATAACATAGCCAGTAAAGACTTCTCTGAGGGCATGAATATTTTTGCAGGTCCTAAAATAAAAAGAACAAACCTCACAAAGATCTGGAGGAAGAGTTACCCCAATAGGAGGAGTAGATGCCACATTATAAGGTGAAGCAACAGAAATGACAGTCCAATTTAATCAGAGTGAGTGAGAAAAAGACAGGGAGAGGAAATGAAGGACCCAATATGAAAGCCTCACAGACTGTGGTTAGGAGTTCAGTTTGTATATAAAGCACTATTGGAGGGTTGAGACATAATCTGATTTATACTGTGCAAGTGTCATTTTGATATTGCAGAGGATCAGTTTAAGGAGACTAGGCATATGACTATAGAGATATGTTATAAAGACTTTGCAGTGATTTAGAAGTGAGATGTAGGTTCTTCATAGTAGCATCACATCCATGGTAGTATTAAAAATATTTATTTACCTTATAGGAGTTACTAGCATTTTGTGATGTGATACGTAGAGAAAATTCAAGGATTACACCAAATTCTTATGGAGCAGACAAGTGGATTGAGTTGCCCATTAACAAGAGATAGAATACTTAGGAAGAAGCAAGTTTGGGGAGCAATTAAAATCAATGAATCATTTCTAGTTATATACCCAAAGGAATATAAATTGTTCTATCATAAAGACAAATGCATGCATATGTTTATCACAGTGCTATTCACAAGAGCAAAGACATGGAATCAACCTAGATGACCATCATCGGTGGACTGGGTAAGAAAATGTGGTACATATACACCACGAAATACTACACAGCTATAAAAAAATGAGATCATAGCCTTTGCAGCAACATGGATGGAGCTGGAGGCCATAATCCTAAGTGAATTATTACAGCAACAGAAAACAAAATATGCATGTTCACACTTACAAGTGGGAGCTAACCATTGAGTACACATGGAAACTAAGAAGGAAATAATAGACCCTGGGGCCCATTTGAGGGTGAAAATTGGGAGAAGGGTGAGGATTGAAAAACTTACTATCAGATATGATGCTGATTGCTGGAGTGACAAAATTATCTGTACACCAAACTCCCACAGTGGTATGTAATTTACACATGTAACAAACCTGTACATGTATCCCTTGAACCTAAAATAAGAAATGGAAAGAAAAAAATAAGTAAATAAAAATATTCCTCCCCCCCAAAAAAAGCAAGGAGTCTCTTTCAGATTTTGTATTAGTTATTATTGCTGTGAAACATATCACTATAAACATAATTTCTTAAAACAACATACATTTATTATCTCAAAGTTTCTGTGTAACAGAAAAAACAGGCACAGCTTACCTTTAGGGTCTCTTACAATACTTCAATTGTTATGCAGTCCAGGACTCAGATTTGATTTCAGGTTCAACTGAGGAAGAATCTGCTTCCTATTCACATGGGTATTGGTGTGATTCAGTTACTGGTGGGCTGTCAGACTGAGGGCCTTAGCTCCTTGCTATCTTTCAGCAAGATGCCACCCTTAATTGTTTGCACTGTGGAACTCTGCATATGATGGCTTAGTTCATCAAAGCTTACAAGGGAAGAAAAAAAAAAACAAAAGACAAATTCTGTAAGAAAAATGAAAGTTACAAAATTGTGATGCAATCACTCAGCTCACTGCTCAGTTCTAAAACAAAGCCTTATATTTTTAGACATTTATTTGAGTGGCCTCCCACTCCTTGTACCAAAATATGTATATGTTAGTCTGTTCTCACATTGCTATAAAGAAATACCTGAGACTTGGTAATTTATAAAGAAAAGAGATTTAATTAGCCCATCGTTCTGCAGACTGTACAGGAAGCATGGGAGCATCAGCTTCTGGGGAGGCCTCAGGGAATTTACAATCATGACAGAAGGCAAAGGGGAGTGAAGTGTCTCACATGGCAGAGCAGGAGCAAGAGAAAGAGGGAGGGAGGAGTGCCACACACTTTTAGATAACAAGATCTCATGAGACTCACTCACTAGCACAAGAACAGTACCAAGCGGATGGTGTTAAACCATTCATGAGAAACCTCCCCCATGATTCAACCACCTCCTGCCAGGCCCCAGCTTCAATATTAGGGATTACAACTCAACAGGAGATTTGGGTGGAAACACAGATCTAAACTATATTATTCTGCCCCTGACTCCTTTCGAATCTCATGTCTTTATCACATTTCAAAATATAATCATGCCCTCCCAACAGTCCCAAAAGTCTTAAATCCTTCCAGGATTAACTCAAAAGTCCAAAGTCTCTTCTGAGACAAGGCTTGTACTTCCACCTATGATCCTATAAAGACAAAAAAAAAGTTAGTTATTTCCGAGATACAATGGAGGTACAGGCATTGGATAAATATTTCCATTCCAAAAGGGAGAAGTTTGCATTGGTGGTATAGTGGTGAGCATAACCGCCTTCCACAAGGAAAAAGTGGACAAAAGAAAAGGGTTATAGGTCCCACACATATCTGATACCCAAAAGGGAAGACATTAAATTTTAAAACTCTAAAATAATTTCCTTTTATTCTATGTCTCACATTCAAGGCAAACAGATGTCATGGGTGGGCTCCCAAGGTCTTGGGCAGTTCCATTCCTGTGGTTTTCAGGGTTCAGTCCCTGCGTCTGCTCTAAAGGGCTGATGTTGAGTGCCTATGGCTTTTTTAGGCACAGAGAGCAATCTGCTGGTGGATCTACCATTCTTATGTCTGGAGGATGGTAGCCCTATTCTCACAGCTCCACTAGGCAGTGATCCAGTGTAAACTCTGTAGACTCTGTGTTACAGTTCTAACCCTGCATTTCCCCTCTGCATTGCCATAGTAGAGGTTCTTCATGAGGTCTCTGTCCCTGCAGTAGACTTCTGCCTGGACATCTAGGCTTTTCCATACATCTTCTAAAATGTAGACAGAGACTCCCAATCCACAGCTCTTGCATTCTACACACTATGTGTAAGCCACCAAGGGTTATGGCTTGCACCCTCTGAAGCAGTGGCCTCAGTTGTATCTAGGCCCTTTTAAGCCATGGCTGGAGCTGTAGCAACTGGGATTCCAGGAGCAGTATCCCAAAGCTGTGCAGGGCAGTGGGGCAGAAACCATTCTGTCCTCCTAGGACTCTGGGTCTGTGATAAAAAAGGCTGCTATGACGGTCTTGGAAGGAAAAAACAAAAAACAAACAAAAAAAACCTTCAAGGCTTTTCCCCCATTGTCTTGGCTATTAGGACCTTTTTCCTTATGAAAATTTCTGCAGCCTACTTGAATTTTTTCCCTGAAAACAGGCTTTTCTTTTCTACCACATGGCCATGTGGCAAATTTTCCAAATTTTTATGCTCTGCTTCCTTTTTAAATATAAGTTCCAGTTGCAGGTTCATTTCTTTACTCATGCATAGGTTGTTAGAAGCTGCTAGGTCACATCCTGAATGCTTTTCTGCTTAGAAATTTATTCCACCAAATACCCTAAATCATTACTCTCAAGTTCAAAATTCCACCCATCCCTAGAGCAGGGACACAATTCCACAAAGGTCTTTGCTAAGGCATAACAAAAGTGACCTTTACCCCAGTTCCCAATAAGTTCCTCATTTCCATCTGAGACCTCCTCAGCCTGGACTTCACTGTCCATATCACTATCAGCATTTTGGTTACAACAATTAAACAAGTATCTAGGAAGTTTCCAATTTTCCCTCATCTTACGATCAACTTCTGGAGCCTCCACACTCTTCCAACCTGGGTGCATTATCCAATTCCAAAGTTGTATCCACATTTTCAAGTATCTTTAAGGCAATGCCCTACTCCTGGTACCAATTTTTGGTGTCAGTCCATTCTCTGTTGCTATAAAGAAATACCTAAGATTGGGTACTTTGTAAAGAAACAAAGTTTCAATTGACTCATCGTTCTGTTGGCTGTACAGGAGGCATGATGTCATCAACTTCTTGGGAGGCCTCAGGGACTTACAATCACGACGGAAGACAAAAGGGGAGTGAGGCAATTCACGTGATGGGAGCAGTAGCAAGAATGGGTGTGTGCCACACACTTTTAAACAACCAGATATGATAAGAATTCACTCACTATCATGAGAACAGCACCAAGAAGATGGTGCTAAACCATTCATGAGAAATTGCTCCCATGATCCACCACTTTCCACCAGGCCCCAGCTCCAACACTGGGAATTACAATTGAACGTAAGATTTGGGCAGGGACACAGAACCAAACAATTTCAATGTAATAGCTTTCCCTTGCTGTATAACAAATTATCAGAAAGTTATTGGCAGAATTCATTTCTTTCTGAGATATAAACTGAGTCAGTAGAGTTTCTCAACTTTTTCTGGTTGTCAACAGGAGGCCATCAGTGTTTTGTTATGTAGGCATCTCCACATGGCCATTTGCCTTATTAAGGCCAATAGGGGAGGGATAAAATGGAGATCACTTTCTAGCAAGATAGAAATTGCAATCTTATGTAATATAATCCAAAATTGACATTACTTTACCTTTGCATTTATTTATTTATTTATTTATTTATTTATTTATTTACTTACTTACTTACTTATTTTTGAGGCAGAGTCTTGCTCTGTTGCCTGGACTGGAGTGCAATGACATGATCTTGGCTCATGCAACCTTTGCCTCCTGGTTTCAAGTGATTCTCCTGCCTCAGCCTCCTGAGTAACTGGGACTACACGTCCCCGTTACCACGTCTTGCTAATTCTTGTATTTTTAATAGAGATGGGGTTTCACCATGTTGACCAGGTTGGTCTCAAACTCCTGACCTCATGATCCCCCCACCTTGCCCTCCCAAAATGCTGGGATTACAGGCATCAGCCACCGTGTCTGGCCACTTGATTTTCTTTGTTAGAAGTAAGTCACAGATACCACATTCAGACAGAGGATATTGTACAAATGTGTGCATACCAGGAAATTGGGATAATTGGGGGAAATATTAGAGTCTATCTGCCCCATACCTATTCATTCTGAGATGTGTATCAGATACCTAAGTGGCTTTATTTTGTATTCTGTTAAATACGTGACTCTGGAATCCAAGGAATAATATAGGTTTGGAGACAGAAATTTAAGTTATCTCTAAATGGTGTTTAACTAATACAACTGTAATAAATGGCAGCATGTATGCAAGTAGAAAAGAGATTAGGATGAATCAGATCACCACAACGTTAGAAATCCATAAGAATTAGAGATTAAGCAAAAAGCATTTTAAAAGGAGCATACAGTAAGATTGGAAGAGAACAGAAAGACTGTGTCCTGAAAACTAAAAGCAAAAATTAAGACAGAGTACTTATGTCAAATCATGCTGATAGAACAAGCCATGTAAGAACTAAATACTGCCTTTTGAACATGCTAGTTTCAGCAACAAGATTATTGGCGGACATAAAAACCTGATTGGATTGGCTACAAGCCAGAAGTGGGCTGAGGAAGTACAAAACACAAGAATAATCACAGTTTGGAGATTTTCTATAAAAAGGAGCTTAGAAATTGGATAACTTGGAAAAGGTGTGATGACCAGCTTAGGCTTATTTTATAAAGAAGCATATCACTGCGTAAGTGTGCAACAGCATATTAATTATTACTTTATCATTTTTCCTGGGAATTAGGACTTTTGTGCAAAATGTGAAATCAAAAGATAATAATAACTACATGTTCTAAAGAAAGAAGGTAAACACATTCTGAAACATTAACATTGTTGCTTTAGTCATTATAAGACTTGAGTTTCTATTGCTTTCTGGTCACAGCTAATTATGAACATGTGTGAGCATGACCATTCTAGATATAATCTTTAACCTCTTGAATTTTTCCCTAAGTCAGGCATGTCCCAAAGTTCATGTCCAGAAGGAAAGTAAAGGTGCTGTGTTCTCATGTTTCCTTGCCTCACCATCCTTCATAATTGTTCTTTCACTTCTTGAGAATTTTCCAGGATAATGGATGGTAGAATAATTCAATTAAACCAAAATAAAAGATTTTACTCAGTTCCGTCTAATTTTTCCTTTGCCTGCAAATAATCTCAAAAAAGGTTTATTTGCACATTTACAATCTTCTATTTTTCATTGAGATGCATTTTTAAATTCCTCAGGACTTCACACTCTTCCCATCTCCCACTCTAGGATGTGACTTTAGTGTACTATTTCCAGATTTATGGAAGTCTCACCAACACGTAATTACTGTGGTCTGGCAGTTAGCCCTACTAAGTGGGTAGTTTCAAGATCATTTTTGCAATTTTTTAAATTTACATCATCTAATTTGTTCAGGACAAAAATCATACATTCTATCTTCATCCAAAAAACATGTATCTGATAGCATTCATATCTAAAGATGCTGCGACACTGACTCCATAGCCTGTTGTGCTGGCTTTCATGGGGTTTCATTTTCCTGTGAATTTTATTTTGACTAGGAACTATGGAACTTCTGAAGCTTTGGTTGAAGTTAACTTCCTTCAAGGGTAAATTTGCTTCTGTCCCAAGCCTTAGAAGCATTATCAATATAGAGACATTTCAAACTAGAGTTTTAGCTAGAGATTTGTTTTTGCTGTTTTCTGGTCACATATGTAGCATATATCTGGGCCCCAAGCACACATAGGGGTTGAGTTGACTTCACGAATTCTCGGTGGATTTAACTCTCCCTTCTAGCCAATGCCAACATCAAGATAAATAGGTTTCCTGTTCATCTCCTTCTGTGAAGAGCTATGAGAAGGAAGACAGAAAACATGCAACCTCTTTGATGTCACACTCTGGGTTTTGTGTTTAGTATGCTTAAAGG